AGCCCCCCCTCACTCCGTTTCCTCTGCCCCCTCTTCGCTTTCCAGAGTGGGGGGGGGAGGTTCGCCTTCGTTCCTCCCCCCCCTTCTCCTCTTCTTCCCCCGTCCTCCTCCACCGAGCCATACCCCGGCCCGGGCTCGCCTTCCAAGGGCATCAGCTGCAAAGCCCACAAGGAAAATGGCGGCTGTTTGGCTTCGCCCTGGTAACCCTGCCCCTGCCGGGCGGGGTGGGTGAACCCGTGCGGCAGCGGGAGGAAGGGAGGGGGGAGAGCCGACGCCATTTTCCCAGCCAGAGAGAGAGAGAGAGAGCGAGAGAGGGAGAGAGAGAGGCAGTGACATCGGAAGGAGCGTAGGCGGCTGCGAGGAGGGAGACACGGCAGGCAGAGCAGCGGCAGCGGCGCGGGGGCAACCAGGGGGTGGTCCAGAGGTCCGAAGCGGCGGCGGCGCTTCTCAGCAGGGCCCTGCGCAGCCAAGCCAAGCTAAGCCAAGCCAGCCAGCTCGGGGGATAACTGCCCTCGACCCTCCTCCTCCTCCTCCTCGCCCCGCGCCTGCGGAAGCCTCCGTCCTGCTCGCTCGCTCGCTCTCTCACCCGCGGGGGGGACCTCCGCAGCGGGACGGTTGCACTGTGGCCAAGCCAGGCGCTCGGGTCGGGGTGCCGCCGCCGCTGCCTGGCCGGTGATCATTCCAGGTGAGTCCGGGGCCGCCGGATTTGTTTACGGTGCGGTTGTCATGCCCGGCGGCCGTGGCTGGGCTGGCTGAGCTGGGGCGTTGGGGCGGGGGGGAGACGGCAGAAGGAGCGTCTCCTTCCCCGAGGAAGAAGGGCAGCGGCGGCGGAGCATCGCCGCCCTCCGGGGCTGGGGTGGGGGGGCCGCGTCCGTCTGGGGACCCTTCCCTATCCAAGGGCCTTTTCTTTCCTCTTATTTTTTTTCAAACTCCTCCTGACGCGTGTATCTGTGTGTGTGTGTGTGAATGCGCGGACGGGGGGGGTGTCACCTTTGAAACAGCCGAGGGAGTCGCTCCGTCTCGTGAAGATGGCGCGTTTATTGTCAAGCGGCGGAGGTTGTCCTTCAATGGCAGTTATTATTATTATTATATTTTGAGGGGGGGAGATTGAAAGGTGCAGGAGACCCCCCGGGTGGGATGAAAAGCGGGCCTGAGGGGGGGTGTCGCTTTTTGTTTTCCCCCCTGCTGACAAGAGGCGGACGCCGACTTTCCTGAGGGGAAGCCCGGGGAAGGGAGCCCTTCTTCGCCCCTCACCTTGCTCCGGAGAGGGGCCTAATCCTCCTCCCCATCCTCCTTCTCCGCTGGGTGTGGGTGTGGAGGGGGGCCAAGCAGGTCTCGGGACCGGGCTGGCGAGCCCTCCCCGCCTCGGAGAAGGGGCCGGACGAGGCTTTTATTTATAGCTGCCTCCGGGCGGACGGATGGACGGACGGGCGGGTGAGGGGACCGCTCTCCCCTTTCTGCAGGAGAAGAAGGAGGCGGAAAAAGCCTCTTTTGCCCGGGGAAGAGTTGAGGCGAGAGCGCCGTCCCTCCCGCTGCGGATCCCGGCGTCTGAGGGAAACAAACGGTCGCCCGAAGCTCCCGGTTTCTCCTCAAGAGTCCCTCGCCCGAGGAGGGGGGGGGGAAAGAAGAAACCTTCGGGTCTCTGGAAGAAAAGAAAAAAAAACAACGCTTTGGATTCCTTTTCGCCTCAGTTTTCCTTCAAAAAGACCCCCCCTCCTCCTCTCTTTATTTCCTTCCCCGTTTAACGGGGGTCGGGGGCCGAAAAAAAAAACAAACCCCAACGGAGAATCCGACCCAAAGCGGGCCCGCCAAAGCAGCGCTTCTTTCTCCTCAGCGACTCGGGGGCAATATAAAGAACGAGAAGAATAAAGATACTCGTACCCGTCGTCGTCTTCCTCCTCATCATCATAATAAAAAAAAAAGTGGCGTGAATAAAACCCTACATTTCCCCCCTCTTTTGTCCTTTTAAGCGGCTCTAAAAATGGCGGCCCCGAGGCTGATGTTGTGGTAATCTAATCAGCTCGGGTCCTCCACACCCCGCGCGGTGCGTTTTTGTCTGCAGCGACGTTGTTCATAATCGGGGCTGCTTTTGCTTGGATATAGATAAAAATAAAATAAAATATTTTTTTTTTTTAAAAAGGGATGGGCGGGGGAGGGAGGGAGGGGAAACTCTTATCGCCGGATCGCCGCCCAGAAGAAAAACAAAAATAAAAACAAAACCCCTCACAGATCGCCTCTTATTTATTTATTTATTTTTACTAGATGCTGGTGTTCCGCTTGATTAATTTTATCGGCTGTTTTGTGCGAAAGGAAAATCTTCCTCAGGGAGGGCGAGGACGGTCCCTTGTAGCTGCTTGTGTTTTTCCTGTGTGTGGTGTGTGTGTGTGTGTGTGTGTTTGTGTGTAAAGTGAGTTCAGATGCATTGCCATATTAAATCTTCCCACTTTTATTTTTAAAATGGTGGACAAGTTCCTGTGCTAGATTGGTGTGGTACCGTTCTCTCCTCACACACACACACACACACACACGCCTAAAAAAAAAATAAGAGCCAGTTATTTTAACATGGTATTTCCATTAAAATTTGGAGGGTGCCGTCAAAATATTACTCAAATATATATATATCTATTAATAGTGTCTTGCTATTGGACAAAATATTCCAGAGTTCCCTGTTTTTTCCCCCCCCTCCTCCCTTCCCTCCAGGAAATTACATAGATTTAAACTTGAGCTTTGCTTCTCTCCTTTTGGATTTAAGCATCTAGGTTGTGTGTTTCGACAGTTTCTCTCCCTCTGTACCTGAAATTCACTTTTTGTGCGACAGTTATACTTAAGCTGTTAATTAACATTGACCAATGAATAATGATTAATGCAAAAGACAAATGGTTAGCAAGCTGCTTAGCTTCTCTCCTCCATAGTCCCCATCAAAAAGGTATTTTCCTAATCTTTTGAAGGACTTTTGTAGAAAGGTGTGTGAAACTTTTGAGTTCCTTTTATTTTTTCTTTTCTTTTGCTATTTTAGTTCTTTAGTCGAGGTTTAAACTTGAAGCTGAAATCTCTTGAAATTAGTAGCAAAATACAAATATTACTTTAGGAAAACATTTTCTCCAGTGGCTAATGTTACTGACTTATAATGGTAATAATGACCTCTTTACATTAATGCTAGCTTTTTTAGGCAAATGATAGGGAAAATAGTATTTAGAAGGCCGATCATGTATGGCTTCAGTACATTGTGAGGCCTATATAGCATGTAGTGTATTGTCCATAAATGCTGATTTTGTCAGAAGAAAAATTAATATTTTAATTGCATGTTTTTGCATCTTTTGGAACACTTATAACTTAGGAGCAAGATTCCCAAGGATTGTGTAAAGATTGTGACAGTTTCTTGATAAAGGTATTGTTTTGGTACCCATATCTTCATTGTGGTCATAATTTGTAATTAGTGAATTTTATTCATGCCTAGAAATTGATAGGCTTAATTTTATTGCCAATATTTGGCCCAAATGTGATTGCAAAACAAAATTTATAGTGACTTTCTGGATTGCTCTCATTGGTTTCTGACAGTAACTCTATGATTTCTGTTTGATTTGCTTAAGGAAGCTGTGAGTAGAATTCTAGATTATACAGAAACCCATCTGTCAGTTCAGTCTCTTTATATAGAAATGAAACCCATCTTAAACCCTTTGTTCTACATTGCTCTCTTCTGACAATCTTGCATTCCCCAGCAATAGGCTTTAAATTGCCAAAATAATTTCTGGAAATTATTAATTCAACATCCCAAACCTGTGTATCCTTAGTTTGAAATAAGACACTTTTTTATAAGGGATATTCTCTGTTCACAGAATTGACAGCAACAAGTATATGTGTGTGCCTATTAAGGAACAAGTATCTTGAATTTCCTGGGACTTGCTTTAAAATAAATAGAATTCAATGTAAATGACAATTTTGCTATATAGATTCAGTTGGCTTCAGCACATTCAAAATACTGTCTTTTTAAAGTACTGTTCTTGCCCTTCTATTTTACTGCATGGCAATCATCTCTGCTCTTAGTGGAGATGCTCTTTAGGCAGATCTTGATTACTATGATAGTAAGTAATACTTCATCATAGTAAAATTATTTTTTAAAAAAACAATATAAATGATAATATAGCACTTTTCTTAGTGTAGGAAGATACGCAATGAGACCTAAAATGAGAATGTTTATTAAATAATTTCAGAAAATATTTTTCTATTTAGGTATAGGACAGAATTAAGAGAAAATAAAACTCTTGAATAATAACAGTCATTCTGAAATATTCCTTGGATCTTGTTGTATTTTTAACACAATGTAGGGCATAATGAGATTTAATAATTTATTACATGGTGCACATCATTTCCATATATGGCTATTTAGGAATAGTTCTAATTTCCAGAGCCTATTCAAAACTAAATCCTGTAATGTTCAATGAAGCTTATTCCCAGGTATAGGACTGTAGAATTGTAATAATAGTCAATCACAAAACGTTTATTTTTTTTTTCAAACTGTGGAAATAAAAACATAAGAATATGGCCCAGATCTCACAAAACCTGCATTTTGGTATAAAGGAATTATGTCTTTATTCTTTCTAGTCCAGGGGTTCCCAACCGGGGGTGCGAGACGATATTCCAGGGGGTGCAAAAACTTGGGTTTTCAAAATTATAGTGTATATGCATAATTTGTTGTCGCTATTTCGAATTTTTGTAAGGGGTGCAAGAATATATTAGAAGCGTTCTAGGGGCGCGGGGTATAGAAAAAGTTGGGAGCCGCTGTTCTAGTCTAAAAACTGCATACATTATTTGATTTGAGACACATTTTAGTATCCCAAATTACATTAAAGTATGTGGTAAGCCCCCAAATATTCAAATGGTTGAGCCTAGTTTAAATTCTAGAACTTAAGTATTGAGCCAAAGAATTAGGAAATACAAGAATGAATAAATGTAAATCATGAGTATGCTTTCTAATGCACTAATTGGAAGGTAATAGATTATATTAGAAGGTTTCCTGATACCATTTATAGGATACAAAATGTCTTGGGATGTACTGGTAGATCTCCAGGTAATTTAGAGTGGATTGGCAAGGGTTTCCAATTCCCAATTGTTTGACAATAATAACAACATAAAGGCTCACCCCTCCCTCAAATAGGTTACTGAAACTATTTTGTAAGAAAATAAAGTGGATTTATAATGTGTAACTACTATTACCACCTCAATTCTGGTAGTGAAGATACCCAGAGGTCTCCTGCTTTGGATGAATGCCAATCGTTTTTCCCCTGTAGAGTTCAGGGTTGTTGTTTTTTTTTTACAAAATGTTGATCTTGTCTACTTCTACACCAGAATAAATCTAAACTATACCAAATGAATTTTTGTAGTTCAAGCTAAAGAAAAAATACAGAATAAGGATGTTTCAGATGCTATATATTCCATTCTGTTCTGTTAATGAAAGCAGCCTCTGGCCATAAAATGGAATATAACAAAACTTTTGGCTTTTGCCTATGTAGAGAAAACTTCTCCATGCTGGAGTTTTCCTCAAAATGTTGACCAAGCAAACATCACAGAATTTCTGTGTAATTTCTAGTACAGTTAATGCGCAATAATACTACCAAATATGTAATACATGCCAATAATAATATGTAATAGAAAACATAGTTTATTGTGCTATGTAACACTGACAAT